TCTCTCTCTCTCTCTCTCTCTCTCTCTCTCTCTCTCTCTCTCTCTCTCTCTCTCTCTCGTCCGCGTTTACGATGTCTCCCCACAACACTACGGGTCGCCCCACTCAATCGTCGCGTCTCGCGCGCTTTTCAAAGCAGCATGGACGTCACACGCGCGCTTACAGTCCGCCACCGCGCTATAAAGAAGCAATTTTACACCGCGTCGCAACAGTCTCGCGATTGTCGCTGTGCCGCGCGGACCGAGTTCTCGTTAATCCGGGAACGACTGATCGCCACAACACCAACGTTCGTTCATCCGTTGATTCGTTTGTCAGTCCGTTTGCCCGGGCAAAACGCTGCGAGCGCGTCGCGCGATAATCGCGTCGTCCACTGTGAACGGTACGAGCGCACCGTATAATGCTTTTCCATGAATGAATTATGCGACGAAAACGTGGGCCGTGATTTGAGTTCGACGCGCTGAGAATGTAGCGACAGGCCGAAGTAACAAAACCGCTAACGATTGCGAAATCGCTTTGATTGTTCACATCACGGCCCTTGCGCGAGTTTCTGTCGGCGTGCGAAGATACCTAACGTGTGTGGCTGTGCAATCGGAATTAAGCCGTCGTTCGCGCGACTCGAGTCGCCTCGGGCTCTCGATTACACACAAGTGTTTCTGTATTGATGGACATTTTCGTCACGGCGCAACGCAAAGCGCTCTTAAAGCGCAATAGTGAAGCTTGCTTCGTGTGGGAATCACTTGCTTGTCTTCCGTTCAATTTCGATCCCTCACACGTTCGCAACAGTTGACAATCTTGCCGTGCATTCATCCCTCACTTTCACGCCATATAAATAAAAAGAGCCTTTTCTCTAGCGAACGTTCACGAAGGTCGCGCGGACATTGGCATGTACAGTTAGTATACCTTGGTGAACGAATGCTCGCGCAACGATTACGGGTTCCAAGGTTATCGGAATTAATCGAGGCCGGAGGAGCTGAAATTTGGAGCACCGTAGAGATATTTAGGGCCCTCCATTTACCCGAACGTTCCGCGCTCGATTGCACGTTACGTTGAGACTCATGTCAAATCCGGTATTCGCCGAGCTGTGAAATATCGCCGGGACGCGGCTATTCCGCGTTCGGCCCGGCCTCCTCTTCTGGATGTAGTGTAATTAAAGCTGTCAAACCACTTGCCCGCGCCCCCGCGCGCGCGCTCGTTCTAATCACCGCGATCGAGAGCCTTCCGTTTCTACGCCACGAATGCTAATCGAATTGGACATGCGTGACACACGTATGCAAATTCGATGACAACAATCCCGAACAGATTACAAGTGCGATCGCGATTATTAAGAGCCGGGAGACGTGTCGGAGAAAAATGTATGCGTGTCGTCCGCGCCCGGGCGAAATGCGCTCTTTATTATGATATCGCGTTTCAGATCAACAGCTGTTTATTATCTCCTCACGATAAGCGCAACATGTTACGCGAATCAGCTTCTCGCCGGGCACGTGCTCGTCTTATTAATTACGCCGGCCGTGCTTCATTGATCGTCGATTTCTTTTTTAAACAGCGATATCGCGATATCTCAGGCGCTGTAAATGGAGACACCGGCGCTGACGGCACACGGTTTTTGTTTCGACGAGCCGACAAAAGTGCTGAGAACTTAATGACTGACATCTGCTACCGTTATTAGCTCGTAACGCGAAAGTCAACAGTAATGAAGTCGGATTATGTACTCGGACGGATTTGTTTGCCGAAAGCACTCCCCAACGCTTACGTAAAAACACGCTGACAATTGCCGCTCATTAATGCCGTACGTTCGATCCGTAGGCTGTGTTAAGCGCGTTAAAAATAACAATGCTAAGAGAGAGAGAGAGAGAGAGAGAGAGAGAGAGAGAGAAATAAAGCACGCGCAAGAACCAGCGGTATCAAGATTCAACACGTTCATTAGTGTAAAAAATATTATGTTGCAGGTAGAACAGTGAGCGACCGTATCGACGCGAGGTGTTATCCCCCGCGACATCCGAGTCATCCACCATTACCATCCCGAATTTCTCAGCATTCCCGAGACTGCCATCGCGAGGCTCGCCAAAATAACTAAATGTTCCCCGTGTCACCTGAACACAACGATAACTGAACACAAGCGAAACTCGCTCTGAGAGAAAAGGAAAGAAAGAAAGAAGGACGAGGACCAGGTGGGCTAGAGCGCCGAGGATTCGCTCAGTTCAATGGGAAGTAGCTCGCTTACGCAGCGAGGGCTGCGTCCGTAGTCGAAACGAGAAAGAGAGAGAGAGAGAGAGAGAGAGAGAGAGAGAGAGAGAGAGAGAGAAGAATCGCCAACAGCGCAAACTCATAATCGAGTGGACAAATCGCCGACAAACAATAGGGAATCTGGCGGCTTCCGATGGGGTCATAGCCGTCAACGCTACGTATATTCGTAACACATATCGCGATGATAGGCTAGCCACGGCAGGAAGAGATCGTCGTAGGGGGATCGTCATAACTAATCGTACCACCCAAGGTGGCACAGATTGAGAGCCCCATCAGCATACATCCTCTCCTGGCTAACGAGATACCCGTTCAGCGTTCATCCAGTTCGCGCGCGTCGTTACACGTCGCTTGCATCGACGATAGCGTGTCGCGTTAACCTTCCTGGTGGAGGCTCACCGACGACTGTCGGCAGACACTCCAGCCTGATCCGCCAAATACTCAGCGTCAGCGAAGTCACCATCCTTCGAGACTCTCCTCGTCAGGACGCGCGCCGACTGACTGCAAGTGACCACGCTCTATGTAAACGACTGCCGTGCGATTAGCATTCGAAGACACACCGCACGACCGGCAGGATCATCATGGAAATAGCGAGCGAGCTGTAAGTAGGACTCTTCTTCTCATGTGAGATCTTTGTTGATTTGTTCGCGAGTTCTCTCGTTCGCGGGTATTCGCGAAGATTCTTGTAATACGAGGGTGGTCTGAAAAGTTTCCGACCTAACAAAGATACAAGTCATTTTTTCTGAAAATTGTTTTTTATTTTTCAACATAGTCTCCTTGTAAATCTACACACTTCTCCCAGCGATGCTCCCATCTCTGTAACCCGTCGAAATAGTACTCGGCGTTTTTCTCTGCAAAATAATTGTTCACGAAGGTGATTGCCTCTTCATTTGACGAAAATCTCTGTCCTCCGAGCGCAATTTTTAGATGAGGGAACAAAAAGAAGTCGCTTGGGGCTAGATCTGGTGAGTAAGGTGGATGGTCAAGCAGTTCAAACCGTAATTCGTGGATT